CAGACGATGATTGAGAACAATCCATGACACTGGCAGGTCTCAGCTTTGCAAAGGGGGCAGTGCATGCTATAAATTCTGCAGGGTGCCCAAACTTTTGCAGATGCCATTTTTTTGTTTTCTGTTATTTTGAAAGTGTAAATGATGGAAATAAAATTAACTTTTGTTGACATATTATAAGAATGTCTAATCTGTAATTTGATGCCTTTTGGAGATTTTTCCATCTTTCCTTGGCTTCTTTATGCACATTAATACAAATTTTTAGCTGGGGTGCCCAAACTTTCGATCCCCACTGTATATTAGTGAATTGTGGAAGATGTTCAGGGATAAAGAATGTAGGTTAAGTTTTTTATGGGCTAAGTTATAGTGGAATTCCAGGCTATTCGTAACTAAGCTTAAACCTGCTCACACCCCCTTCTAGATCCTTTACTAACTACCCTGTAGATCAGGGTCTCCAAACTATGGCCCTCCAGGTGTTGAAGTCCCATGAGACCTTGCAAGACTCTAACAGCCAAAGGCAAGACTCCCAAAGGCAGAAGCATGATGGGACTTGTAGTACATTAACGGCTGGCGGGGCATAATTTGGAGACCCCTGCTCTAGATAGAAGATGCATATCCTTACCTGTACTGAGGGCGCTCCAGTCTGGTCACATGATCAGCTCCCAGAGTTGACTTCAGGGGAGAGGAGGGACAGCAGATGCCCAATAACAAGCCTATGGGTGACATCACCGCACATGCATTGCAGCCATTGTTGGCGATCTCTCCTCTCCCCAGAAGCTGTCACTATTATCTGATGATGTGACTTGACCAGAGCTCCCTTAGAATAGGTAAGGATAAGCATCTTCTATTTACAGGGTAGTTAGTATAGGTTCTAGAAGAGGATGAGAGCAGGTTTAAGCATAGTTAGGAATAGCTTGGACTTCCACTTTAAGTTAAGTATTAGGGGATCATGAAGCAAAATGTAGAATCAAAGTTTAAAATGTGAATTACAACACCCATATAACTGGTAATCCTAGTGAGAGATGACTGTTGGCAGAAGTAATTATTTGAGATGCCTGTGGTAAATGTGAAAAAAAAAAAACTACTATATCTACAAATTTATCATATGCGTGTTCATGTAAGTGTGAATATAGAAATCCCTTGTCTGATTATTGGTAAGTAAAAAGAATTGCAGTACATGGTCTCAGTACTATTCTGGGCCGGTAATGCCTTAGATTTGCCATTCTTCAAAGAGAGATCCAGGTAGCCAGTTACATTTAATGGAAAATATAGCCAATGTCTGGCAACTTTTCACTGTTTCCTACATCAGAGTTGAATAGTTTGTGCTATTTGAAAAACTTGCTATATATGTGATAGTGTTTTCATATTATGGGAAGCAATTTAGAAGTGGTCAACCATGGTAGTTTAGAAGCTTATCATTCTACAACTGTAGATGGTTGTTGTTAATACACCTTTCCTTCTTTTGGAAAGATCTGAGACATTTAGTGCTTTTACTTTACAAGACTATTACTATGGACCAGTGTCTCTTTCAGTTCATAAGCCAGGAGATAAATATAGTATCAATATTCTGATGTCTTGACAAAATTATGCACACAATGTAGAGTACTTCTCCAATTCCTAGTGCCATTGTTCATTTGCAATGAATTACAAAATTAGTATTGCCTAAGAAATGTCTGCTTCCTCACATTTCACATGTTTTCCTCACAATGAAAGCTGTTATTTTCTGATTTACTAATGTGGAGTGAATGTAAAAAGTTGAATGTTTTAAAATGAGAACTTCTTCACGTGATTGGACATTTCAAATAAATACAGGTTCATTTAATTTCAGTGCACTTCAATTTACTTCAGTAAACCAGGAACTTGACAAACTACTACAACCAAACATCTTCACAGTTTTTCTGGGCTTAATAAAGTAGTGATACTGTGCAAGGACTTTATGGAAAGTACAATAACACAACTACTATTAATAAAGTCAATACCAAGATTGAATACAATATGTTTTCTTTGCTGTCTCTCCACAACTGTGGTGAACTCAAGAGCCAATCTGAAGGTTTATAGTCCAATGTACGGTCTAAAAATGATTAAATGTTACTAACTTACTGTAGTATATATACTATGTTCATCAAAAAATATATCGCTCAAACTGCCACATCTATAATGTATAGTATAAAAAAAAAAAGGAATTTGGACTTTACTGGCAATGAAGGGAAACACAGAAATCATATATGAAAAATCAATATTTATAAAAATAGCTTGAGTATCAAGCGAAGATATATTTAAAAACAAATCAACTGCATAAAATGTTGTGGTTTTGGCTGCTCGTATATACACTATGTTAAACTTTAGAGATCTGCATCATGTGCTGGTCCCAGTTCTTTAGAACCATAGGACTCATTGTGCTAGGCTAAGTTGTATATTGTAAGTAAACAAAAATAGTTTTCCACAAGTGCTTTACAATCACCTTTTTGTTAAGGTCATTGTATAGCTTTTTCTGATTTATCATTAATGATGAAGTGTAAAAGCATCTAATTTATTGTTTTTTTTTTTTTACTATTTTTCTTTATTGTAGTAACTATTGTGTTATATGGATAGAAACAAAAGTGGATGGGCTCTTTAAGCCAAGGTGTTATTAGTTATATGGTCCTAAAGCAAATGTCAAAATATTATTATTTAGAAGATTACCGGTAATTATAGATTCATTAGAATCATAAGCATTATTGCCTAAGAGGGAAACAACTCTACTAAAAGTCTTGTTAAGTGTAATTGAATCAATTGCTCATAAATCTAAAAAAATTATTTAAGACCCTATTCAACCCCAGCCTTACACATTTGTTGTTTAGAATTTATGGCATGAAAAGTCATTTAGCAGCCTCAAATGATAGAAATTCTGAACCATCTGGGATTCAGGCCATGAGGATTTTAATCCAAAGACAACAACTGTAGTTATATCAATGTCTCTGCCAAAGAAGTAGATACTGCTGCTGCTTGCTATCTGCAAGTCATTCATCTTAGCCATTCCACAGACTTGTCACACACAGCGCAAATTCCCACCTTGCCGGGCTTTTAACAAAATCAATTCTTTCCTTCTCCTCTCTTAGGAAATATACAACACAAACGAAATGATAAAATACAGCCATCCTCTACTTGTATGAAATTAGAAAATATAATATTTTATATTGAGTCTCATTGTTAGAATATTAAACAGCAACTTATTTTCTCCAAGGGAGGTAAAATTCTTTTAAGTAAAATATTGAAAACATTGATTTTTTTTTTTCATTTATAAAGGACAAATTGAAATTCAGTAAAGATGTTAAAGTCTTGTTTGGCAGATGTTAGCAGAGGTTCTAAGAAGAAGAAGCAGAAGCAAATTCCATCAGTGTTAGTTGTTTGGCTTGAGGTAGAAGTCTACTTACCTGGTGACATAATTTATTTTCAGTTGATGTATTGAGCTATTTGCTTTTTTATGACTAGTGTGACTTTTTTTTCTTTTATTTTAGACTGACTAGGAAAATGTTAGAACCAATATCTGGTCTTAGGCTCCTCTCACACTTGTGGTGGTGTCTTCTCCTCCCTGAAAAGCTTTGTAGAGGATGGTGACAGGAGGAGCACAGGCATTTAGGAGGTGATTTTTCTGCCTTCTGATTCCTGTTTTTGTTTTTTTTTTTATTGCAGAACTGCGAGCCAAGTGTTTGGCTCGCGGTTGCAGTGGGCCTTTTTAATTACATGGGAAGGTTTGACAGGCAGTATTGTAGCAACAGAATGTACTGTAAGAATTTCTGCATTGTGATGTGGCACATCAGGCCATGGTAATGTATACCTATCTGAATAGCATCATGTTTGTCGGTAGCTGGACAGTTTGGGCACATTTTTTACTGCCCTCTGGCCTCCAGTGTGAAAGGACACTTTCTGCTATCCATGAGCTCCATTAGAGAGATTTTCCCTCTTTCTGTTCTAAGGACAATGTTTAACCAGGAAGTGAAGGAAAATATGCAGCAGAGACACGTTAAACAAAAAGCTGACAGAGATTCTACCGTTCTCCTACTTATCTTCTGTCTGTGCTGCCATTAGAGACAGTTCCTCTTGCATCCTCTCCTGGGGACAACCTTTTAACTAGACAGGAAGTTAAAGATTCTTAACAACGGAGTCTCCAACTGCAGGAAAACCTGTATGGAGTTTAAACCTTTCCCACTATATCCAAAACTTAAAAAAAATGTTTTGGCTTTAGATACACTTTGGGAGGCAACGCTTTAATTGCTGCATCAAGAGTAATTTTAAAAATGAAGCAAAAGCAGAATTTGCCAGGATGAAGGTCCCACCAAAATAAGTGATCTCAACTCTTAGAACTTGGATACCACAGGAATCCAAATGATCCCTGAATTATAAGATCAACTGCTAAATGCCCTTGATTAAACAGTATATAAAATGTATAAAGCAGTAAACTAAAGAAGGCCTCACAAACAAGAGTGTGTCTAAAATGTGTATATATATATATATATATATATATATATATATATATACACACTCTTTTAGTTTTACAGTTGAATACATGGCAAGTGATTCCAAGAGCACTATGGGTAGCTCAAGAGATAGCAAACCAGTAGCCACCTCTGTTTGTTGAAAAGAGCCATCAGACAAGGTAGGAGTCACTGGGATAAGTCATGCACATCTGTCTGAAAATTCAGCTTCAGCTGCTGAAGTCTGTAAACAACAGACTTTTCTTCAACAGAGGAGCTAATGGAAACCTGTAAATTCATGAAAATAAATCCAAAGCTCCACCTGCTGAAAAAAATATTTGATTTTTTTTTATTTTCTCCTGACCATAATAAATAAAGAAATATGTTCAAGCCCAATATACATTTTCTTTAACCACCTCCTGCTTGCCATATAGTAATATCACGGACGCAAGGTGGTTCTCTCGTTCTGGGAGGACGTCATATGATCGGCGGTGCGCTGTGTCCCTCGGATCCACGGGAAGAGCCGAAGATGTCGGCTCGGTCATGTGATCAGCTGTGTCCAATCACAGCTAATCACATGTAAACAGAGAAATGCCGGTTATCGGCATCCTGCGGAGGGGACATGTACACTGATCATCAGATCATTGATGATCATTGTGCCCTGATGATCAGTGTAGCCCCAGCAGTGCCACCTGTCAGTGTCCATCAGTTCCAGCTGTCAGTGCTCATCAGTGCCACATATCAGTGCCTACCAGTACACATCAATGCCACATATCAGTGCCCACCTGAGCTGCCTTTCAGTATCACCCATCAGTGCCAGTCAGTGCCACCTATCAATGCCAATCAGTGCCGCCTATCAGTGCCAGTCAGTGCCGCCTATCAGTGCGCATCAATGCCCATCAGTGCCGTCTATCAGTGCCAGTCAGTGCCACCTAACAGTGCCAGTCAGTGCTGCCTATCAGTGCCATATATCAGTGCTGCCTTTCAGTGCCCATCAGTGATGCCTGTCAATGTCCATCAGTGCCTCCTCATCAGTGCCCATCAGTGACACCTATCAGTGTCCATCAGTGCAGCCTATCAGTGCCCATCACTGCAGCCTCATTAGCGCACATCAGTGAAGGAGAAAAATCACTTATTTACAAAATTTTATAACAAAAACTAAGAAACTTTTTTTTCACAAAATTTTCAGTGGTTTTTGGTTTGTTTAAGAAAAAATAAAAAACCCAGAGTTTAATAAATACCACTAAAATAAAGCTCTATCTGTCACAAAAAAATGATAAAAATTTAATATGGGTACAGTGTTTCATGACCACACAATTGTCATTCAAAGTGCAACAGCGCTGAAAGCTGGAAATTGGCCTTGGCAGGAAGGGGATATAAGTGCCCTGTAGGCTTGTGGTTAAGTCCTGTTTTCAGGGTGTTGGTCTGATAACAATGAATTTTGTCTTTGGCCTACTAATGAATGGAAACAGCACTGGATCCATCTAAAAGATGTCCAGGAACCACCTCATTGGATAATATCTCAGAACTTACAGTGACGTAGAATTAATGGTAGGGATTTTAGGCTATATTCTTGCTCTAAAGTAAAACTGTAATAATAGAGTTATGTTGGCTTCCATTGATGACCCTTTCACTTGTAAATACTAGTTACCTGGCTCCTATGCAGATTTATTGGCTTTAATAGTTTCTGTGTAACTGACGTAAGAATCGGGAGGTTGGAATTAACTCTGACCTGACTTGCTGTATACTTATTTCTGGTCAGTGACTTAATATTTTGGATATTGAAGCCAAAAAGAGACAGGAAACAAGCCTGCCTAGAACTTCAGCATTGGTAATGGTTTCCTTCAATATATTTATTTGCATACCTCACAATAATCTAAGAGCCCATGCTGGGGCAAATAAAGCGAAATAATAAACCCACCTATGTAAACCCAACAAACCTGTCCAGTGAACTCTCTACATTCCACAAACGATATTGAATTTGATGAATTGTAGGCTCACATTTAACATCAGACAAGGCCATAGTGTTCCAGAAAGCATGTGCTTTTACGTATACTTTTAACACATAAATATGCATCCAACCTAGGCATGTGCAGTGAGGCATTGTAACTGTTTTTTTTTTCTGAAAAGCACAACTATAAGCCACAGGTTTCCTACTCTGTCCTCTGGATGAGGCTTAAAGAAACACTCAGTGCACTGAAAAGAAATCCTATTTTCTTATAGCCCCCTTCAGGGAGAATGTGTAGTTGTTCCACAGCCTGGGCTGATTTATTATAATAGAAAAGAAAAATATGTAGCGCCCAGCATGTGCATTGTGAACCCAGCTGTGATTAGTAAGGGAGTGTGACAATTCCTGAGTTCATCCCAGAAGAATTTACAGCATGCCATACATACTCTGCTTCTGGCAGCAAACTTTGGAAAATTGTGTCCCAATCCTGTTTTTTTTTTTAATAATTATTACTTGAAAACATATTTCACGAGTAACATACAACAAGGTTAGTATAATGGATGCTCTGAAAAAAGCAGTTTATTGAGGTCAGATGGCCTATTATCTATGTCATTTTTCATTTAGATTTTTTACAGTGCCACATTTTGTCCCTTGAAGCTTGTATTTCTTAGACAATAAATAATGGATAGTTAAGTTGGATTTTCTGATGGTTAATGCCTATATGGGGACACTGAACTTAAGGTTGTTTATTTTAGGTCATATAGGGATTAAAAAAGGCAGAACATAAAATGTGACATTTTTTTAAAATGTGATTTTCTAGCCTTTGGGTAAAAAATAGAATTACATTTAAGACATTAATAAATCACTGTATGTATTTGTTTACATCTTTCAAGATGGTTCTGTGTTCTCTGTAAAGTTTCCTGTTATCTAAATAGCTGACTTAAAAAATTCCTCATTTCTACGTCAAAAGCCATTTATTAGCAGAGCTTCCCTCTACATGTACAGTCTTCACTAAAGCAAACAAATATTATGCTGTTCTGTTACCCTGATTGAAATGTCTAAACTAAAAGCAACAACACATAGTTAGGGTTAGCTAAAAGCAGGATGTTTTCATTCCTTCCCATTATATACTATACCTACTGATGTTAGACACAATTATGAGATACATAAAAGAGAAACCAGAGGGGGGGGGGGGGCAGATCTAAGTGTAGCTTCAAGTACATTTATTGGACATAGAAAAAAGACAAATGGCAAATCACAAATTCAGAGGTAAAAAGTACAGGTCATAAACTTTCAGGCTGGTACTGTTTTCATCTCCAAAGTAATATAGTGATAATCCAGGCAAGGGGACAGGAACACCGCTGCAGATCAAGTCTGGGTAATGCGGGAAACACCATGGAGCAGAGTAGATAGCCAGGAATGATGTCACATATCAGGAGACATGAAGATGGCAAAGCTACGCGTTTCAGAGCCACCCTTCTCCTTTCTCAATGAGCACTGAAGCATTATTATTATTGTTATATTATACACAGTTTGCTCAGCACTTTACAATATAAATGTATATATGGTACATGTTCTATTTTTAAATACAAAACCAATGCATTGATGACGAAGTGTCCCTCTAACTTTCATCAGCCCAAAGTGGGTTTTTATACAATAATGGATTCTAAAGTCTTGTATTTTATATAGAACCGAAGAGAAAGAGAGTGTTTCACTTAGAGCAAAACAGATTTAAAAAATGTTACAACAAAAATTAATTTAATTTTCAGCTGTCAACATTGAGAGGTAAACACCAAGCATTTGGCAGGAACCAATAAATCATATTCTACTGGCGGTTGTCTCTTTCCTAGGTAGGACATCATTATAAAGCAGGGTTTCAATGTTTAAAGTTTAACAGAATTGAATCAGTCAGTCTGGGCCTTTTAAACTGAAGTGCCTAGATCAGTGGTGGGCAACCTTTTTTTTCAACTGAGCCAAATCTCGCCAAAACCACGATTGAAATTTATTTTGAGAGCCACATTTTTAAAACTGAAAATGCATCCCCCATATAGTAATTCATCCCCCATAGTAATTCATCCCCCATAGTAATTCATCCCCCATATAGTAATTCATCCCCCATAGTAATTCATCCCCCATATAGTAATTCATCCCCCATATAGTAATTCATCCCCCATAGTAATTCATCCCCCATATAGTAATTCATCCCCCATAGTAATTCATCCCCCATAGTAATTCATCCCCCATATAGTAATTCATCCCCCATAGTAATTCATCCCCCATATAGTAATTCATCCCCCATATAGTAATTCATCCCCCATAGTAATTCATCCCCCATATAGTAATTCATCCCCCATAGTAATTCATCCCCCATATAATAATTCATCCCCCATAGTAATTCATCCCCCATATAGTAATTCATCCCCCATATAGTAATTCATCCCCCATAGTAATTAATCCCCCATATAGTAATTCATCCCCCATATAGTAATTCATCCCCCCTATAGTAATTCATCCCCCATATAGTAATTCATCCCCCATATAGTAATTCATCCCCCATAGTAATTAATCCCCATATAGTAATTCATCCCCCATATAGTAATTCATCCCCCATATTATAAACCATATAAATGCTGCGCTACATTCAAATTAAAGTGAATGTGGAATCCAATGACACAAATCCAATATAGTGACAATAATATAGAAATAAATATATAAGTGCTTGATGATATCAAAAACCATCAAATCAAACACCCAAAAGATGAAAAAAACAAAAACTTAAATCTATACGCATGTGCATAAATACACATACATATAGTTACATCATACGTGCAAATGTGAAGTGAAATAATATTTACTTATCAAGCGCAAAAAAAAAGTCCAATATATAAATATTAAAGGTGAAAAAATGTAAACGGTGTTTCCAATGATACTATAAAGTGACCACAGGTGAAAAACAAATCGTGCAGGTATCTGAGTGTAGATAGAACTTGTGAATCCAACCACCTTCTGGATTAGCCTCTCACCTCATCACTTCGACCCTTGCGGATCAAAGAGCAATAATGGATCCCTCTCACAGATCCTCCAGGCATCACAGCACTCCAGAAACCTTTTCAGAATTCAATATTCCCACTCAAACTCTTCTCCAGGTATAGATGAAATATCAATCTCTCAGAACAAAAAGAGGAATCCTCCCATAGTGTAGCATATTTATTATACCATAGGAACATAGGAACATAAAACTTGTTGGTAAAAAATTCCACTTACATAGCAGCCAGTCCACATGAGGACTTCACATTTGCACGTATGATGTAACTATATGTATGTGTAATTTATGCACATGCATATAGATTTAAGTTTTTGTTTTTTTCATCTTTTGGGTGTTTGATTTGATGGTTTTTGATATCATCAAGCACTTATATATTTATTTCTATATTATTGTCACTATATTGGATTTGTGTCATTGGATTCCACATTCACTTTAATTTGAATGTAGCGCAGCATTTATATGGTTTATATTCACTTGATCACTGGTATATGATTTAATGCTAGCAGCTGTTTGGGGTTCATATATTTAATTTGTTTAATTGTTTTTAAACACAATATTTGGAGCGCAGGAGGGTCACACCACTATTGCTATTATCATCCCCCATATTAATTCATCCCCCATATAGTAATTAATCCCCATATAGTAATTCATCCCCCATATAGTAATTCATCCCCCCTATAGTAATTCATCCCCCCTACATCCTGACAGCCAACGTTTGCCACGCTCCGCGGGCCGGATTAAAAGGTCCGCCGGGCCGTATGCGGGCCGTAGTTTGCCCATTGCTGGGCTAGCTGCAGAGTCCTGACTTTTGGGGCGGCCGCCCGAGAGGAGGGAGGGGAGAGGGCGCCCGGCACACAGAAGAGCCGCATTAAAGTGTGCAAAGAGCCGCATGGCTCGCGAGCCGCGGCTTGCCGACCACTGGCCTAGATGATCAAAGCTGAACTGCAGGCAGATATATAAGCATTACATTTATTTTTTTATAAATACAAGTAGTATAGATATTTGATTTGATATT